AAGAGAGGGAGAGAGAGAGAGAGACAGAGATCCAACTCGATCTTTTGAATTCTTAATGGCCAGTTGTAATAGAATTTTTATAGCAATTCCGAGATCAAGGTGGTTCTAAACTTTCAAAACTGCCGCTCTGTCCACAAACACCGTTCCAAAAGAATGACCTGTCCCCCCTGAAAACAGAAAAGAGAGAGAGAGATCGGGTCAAATTTCGAACCCGGGCAAGCAGGAAGAAGCCACGAAAAGACACTGGCGAACACCTTTCAAATTACTCATTTTCTGTAGTTTTCTCACTCTCTCTCTCTCCCTGTTTCTCGCTGTTGTTTTCACCATATTTTCCAGATAAACCAAGCCTTTTGACTAATATTTACCTATGCCATTTTCGGCCCTCGAATTCAGGCCTGTTTGCCATCCAAAACAGTCTCAATCTGCTCTATCTCTCTCTCTATCTCTCTCTCTCTCTCTCCACTCTCTCGCCCCAGTTGTCCATTTTTGAACAAATATACTGGAATGCTGGCCGGAGCCTATTTTTCAAGCTGCCCACGCAGCCCTCCAGATCGCCCATCTGATCTCTGGGGTAGAAATTTATGCTGCTAGGGCTCTTTTCCCAAAGGATCACTGCTCGTTTGCCCATTTCATGGTAATTTATGTTGACTGGCTGTCAGATTAAAACGGTATTTTTAGTTTTGCATTTTCCGCTTAAATCCGCAAGTGACACTGCTAGATTTCCCTTAGAATTACACTTTTGTGATCACTTTTAGCTTATTTTCCACAACAATCTCTGCTTGTCAGCGGGCTCAATTTTCATTTATGCTAACTGCCATTCAATTTAAATATTCGCTCTGTAGTTTTCGTTCTAAGCCCAATCCCAAAGAATCGCTGCTAGTTGGCCTTCCAAAACAACGTATTTATATTAATTGCCAGCCATATTATAATTTTTCACGATTTTCAGGCGCATTGGACTTTTGCATTTCATAATCCTGAATTCCATTCCATTCCCCTAGCGGTCATTTCAAGGTTGTGGCTGTGACTTGTGAGGTGTCCCCATTTTGCCTCAACCCTCCATTTTTGTCCGAGGCTCCAAGAATCCGGTTATTCCATTCTGTACAATTGAATTTTGTGACGGCCCAGTCCATTGAATATTCGTCATTCCTTTTTGGCGAATTTTACTTTTTACGGAGTCCTTAGAATTTAAATTCATCGGAAATACAATGGTTGCTAAAATTTGCATTCATAAAAAATGTGTCAAATTTAAATTCTAACTTAAGGGGCCTTTTTATAAGGTTTGATAACTCTAAAATTCATTTAAATCATGAATTTAATTTTTACAATTGCAGCAAATTCGATAATATCTTTCGCTAAATCAGCTTAAAATCGTGATTAAAACCCACAGAAATTAAGTGGAATTTTAAAAAATAAATGTTCGTAATTTCGGTATCTTTGTAGATTTTCTTTTGCTCCTAGAAAATGAATAACCATAAACCAGTTCCCCACCACCTCCTTCCCATTTTTGACCTCCAGCTCACCATCTTTGCAAAGATTCCAATTTCGTCCCCTTTGCCTCCAAAAATTTTTTGAAATTCGACCCGGCCCTTTATTTTTACGGGAAGATTTTGTCCCTCTTGCCAATCCCCCGCATGATCATCTTCTTCTTTTTCTCTCGATTCCCCGAATTTCCATAAATTCCCCCCTTGCACCTCCCTCCCACTCGATTTTTCCATCAACTTTTGCATTTTCAGAAAAAGGGCGTGGTTATGAACAAAACCAAAACTCACGAAAATCACGTTTTTGGATAGTAGAATCGGACTTTGATTTGATTTTTGTGCCTTCTGTTGACGACCAGTATTTGAGAGCCAGGCTAGCAGAGTTTCTTGATGCAACAAAGGTAGCTGACGTTTTCTAATCGGCACTTTTAGAATTTCTTTGCACTTTTGTTTCAACGATTTTGTTTTGGGCAAGTTAGCTGAGATCTTTGAGGATTTCCCGAATTTAGAGAAATGGAAACCTAGGAATTTTGTGGAATCCGGATGAGGTGATCGGAAAACCAGATTTTTATAACCTATACAGTAACCTGGCAAGCTAGCTGAAACCATTGAGGAAATTCCCAGCCCTCCGCCGTTATGCTCTCATGCCATTTCCAGCCTTTAAATTCGATCAAAACATAGCCCTCCAGTCTCCAGAAGAAGACCAACAATTCCTCCTCCCCACCGGGCTGTGAAATCGGAGATGAAATGGCGAGAGAAAGAGAAGGAGAGAGAGAGAGAGAGACAGAGAGATTCTGAAACCCCCCGTGTCCGTCCTTCCTCGATATGGTCATTGAACAAAGGGAATTCAAGCTATTTGGCCTGTCCTTTTCGAGAATCGGAAATAGGCGGCCTGTGTCCGTCAATTGGAATGGAATGTATTCATATTACACAATCGCCTTCTTCAGTATTTTTTGAGGGCGAGGGTGGCATTTCATGGACGTCATCGGGAAAATGATTGGTGGTTGACACGATCATTGCACTTTTTGGTGGTTAATGGTCATTGCTAGCTTGCATCGCTTGCAAGTAGCGATGAAAATAAGGGTGTCTCAAGAGTTTCTGGTAGCTTGTCCCATGCCCAAAGTGTCTCTGCTAGCTTGCCAACGCGCGCGCCAGAATCCAAAATAATCTCTACTAGCCCGCCAGATTCCTGAGGAATCACTGCTAGTTTGCCTTTGTTACCTTTCCTCAAGCATCTCTGCTAGCTGACTTCTATTTCTCCAAGAATCCCTGCTAGCCTGCCCGGAACTATTTTAGAGCCATCATGGTCTCCGCCTGTTTTCTCTAATTCCCAAAAACCTCTGCTAGATGGTCGCAATTTCCAAGATGCTCTGCAAGCATACCAATACCTATCCTGGTTTCCTAAAGAATCTCTGCTAGAGGCCTCCGTTTCCTAAAGATTCTCTGCTAGCCCTGCTTTATTTCCTCAAAAATCTCTGCTAGCTTGCCTAGGTCATTGTCGTTTCCCAAAGAATCACTGCCAGTTTGCCTGCTATTTCCTCAAGTTACTCGGCTAAACAGCCGGACCTTTCCCAAATAATCTTCGCCAGCCCGCCCGCTCGGAGTTCCTTCAATTCCTCAATAATCTCCGCTATTCACCCCCTCAAAATCCTCAGCTTCTCCCCGTGCCGTCGTGGCAGTTCTATTGCTTCTTCTTCTCTTTGTGGTCCACATTTTATCGTGCCGTAATCCGTGGTTGCTGCCCTCCCTCCCCTCGTTGGCCACGCCCCTTTTTCGTGGTTCTCCTCCTCCTCCTCCTCTTGAAAGCATTGGAAGGAGGAGGAGGGCCAAACGAACGGCTCTGATTCTTCCATTTCTTCGCCCGAAATTCCAGCGCTCGTCGCGGGATATCTCAGACGGTTTTTATTCACTTTTGTGACGCAGTTTGGGCCAATACGGCTCCGATTTCCGAATTGCAACATCATGGCCGGAAAAATTGCTTTTTTGAGATTTTTGTGGGGTTAAAAGGGACGAGGACAGTTGCTTTTTGACTATTCTGAGATTTTGCGTTCTTTAAATGGAGATGCAAACCTTTTTAATGAATATTTTGAATTTCATGATGAATTCATGTTGAAAAAGACGACATTCGATATTTTGGTGGAGTTCAAGATGTTTTGGACTTTCGTGCTTTTCTATCGTCCGTGGAGGTCAAATTACCGTAATCTAAACACCTCAATCCACAGAAAAATTTAGTTTAGTTTTAGCGTTGCCTAAAATAAGTACTGTATGTCAGCTTGATCAATCCGCTGCTTAACATTTTGCTCGCGGGCGCTGCCCCTTTAAAAAAACCCGCTATTCGGTTGTGAATGTTTGCAAATTGTGGGCTGATTGTCAGATAAGAGCTCAATCCACGAAACACTTAAGAAATTCCGACTGTTGAGTTGCACGGCTTTATTGTGTGTCAGCTTGATGAATCGGGCGATAAAATTCCAATTACAGGCCGATTTGATCCAAAAAACGGCTCCTTTCATCTTTTAACGCTGTCAGCCTCTAAACTGACAGTCAGTTCACAGATTCCAAGCGTCAAAAAGTTCTTCCTGGCATTGTCCCTTGACTGCCACTCGATTCTAGTGCCCCAAACCCCATAATTTCCGTGTCAGTTGACCGTTCCCTCGACTCCAGATTTTTAGCTGTTATTTGCGTATTGCTGTCAATTCTCAGTCTCTCTTTTTCTTCTTCTTCTGCCCTCCAGTCAGTCCATCCCCCCTTTTCCCCCATCCGGCAATTCATTTTTATGTGCCGTGTCGAATGGGTGGGAAGGGGGGGGAGGAAGGAAGGAACGGACTGACTGGCAGTAGAGAGGGAGAGAGAGAGAGAGAACGGGACACAGATTTTTGTGAGGGCCAGTTGTTTTCCCTCTCTATCGAAAAAGAGCGCCTCATCATCCATGGTAATTCTGGAATTATTGCTCCCGTTGAATCCTTGAGAAAAGCCGAGGGTTATTCCCAAAATTCGACCCAGTTCTGCTATGGTTTTACGTCATTTGGAGCGATCGTTCGTATCTGGATTCCGCAAAGGGTCTCTGCTAGCTTGCCTGACCCCCAAAAAATCTTCGCTGGCTGGCGGATAGAATTTTTTCGAAGATTTCCCGACTTGCCATGGGGTTCTTAAAATCCCAGATCATCTATGCTGGAGGACCTTGGGTCCAGGAATCTCTGCTAGCTTGCCTCTCGGCCTTTTGGCGATTTCCGCCTTTCTAATGATTGTTCACCTGCTGAATTCTCTCGGCTAGCATGCCCTGACCAAAATCTCGACGGTAATGAGAAGGCTGGTAGACAATTTACGTTTCCCCAGGATTCTTTGCTAGGCTACCTTCGGATCCGATCTGGATTTTGCTTGGTGCAAGCCTCTCAGCATTGCGCTTAACAGATCTTCTTTAATTTTCGGTTTAGGTTAAGCAACTTCTCTCTTTTCGAATAGCATTTCGCTTTTCGTAATTTGTATTTTAGCATTTTCTAAACTGTTCTAGGTACTGTTTTGCAGATGGCAGACCCCCACGATGTGCCCCATATCGTGCACACCTCAGCATCCCTCACGCCAGAACAAGTTTTCGCCGCGATTGATTCTACGTTATTAGCCAAGGTAAAACATTTAGATCTGCAAAATTGCGTTGGTTTACAGATGACGCCGTTGAACAAAATCGCTAGCTAAAAATTTCGTAAAAATAAGCTTTCGAGAAAAATTCGCTTTTCCAAATGACACCGTTAAAAATCGATGAAAATACGATTTCTAAAAAATTCCTGTTTTTCCAGATGACACTCGGCTCGGGTATGGTGTTGATGATAATGGCGACACTGGTCGGAAACGCGATGGTGTGTCTCGCCGTTCTATTGGTGCGGAAACTTCGGCAACCGGCAAATCTTCTACTCGTCTCGCTGGCAGTCGCTGATTTCTTCGTCGGGTTGTTAGTGATGCCGTTGTCACTGTATGACTACGTTAGTGAACGGTATGTTACGCAGCGAATTTTGGCTCTCTTTCTCTTTCTCTGTCTCTCTATCTGTCTCTTTCTATCTCTCGCTCTCTCTCTCTCTAGCTCCGATTTTTAAGCGGAACCGCCTTCATCAGATGAAGAATTGGCAGAAAGAGCGAGTGAGAGAGAGCGAGAGAGAGAGAGAGCGGTCTTTTCCTCCCCTTCGACGTAGACCAATAAAGGGAAATGAAAGAGCCGAAAAGCGGAGAAGCGCCATTTGTTTTGTCCCGTTCATCCTATTCTCCTTTTCCTCTTTCTCTTCTCTTCTTGAGCAAGAGGACGCCTTGTGAATTAGAACGAGTACGTCCAGCTTAAAGCCTAAATGGGGTAGGGGCGAAATTGGGAGCGCTGTGGAGGGTCGGGTCAAAATTGTGCTCGACCAAATTTGGAGCGTGTAATCAGTAAACGGTCTGCAAACTATTTAAATCGGTCAACTGGATGTCAGTTAAGCGAAATCTAAAAAGCAAAACAAAATATTGCGAAACGGCACCCGGAGGATTCGAACCCGGGTAGTGTGCCTGACAGTCAGAAGCTTAACCCGCTGTGCCATCAAGAAATTTGTCTGGAAAAGTTCTAAATCGGTTAACTGGATGTCAGTAAAGCGAATCCTACTAAAATATTCTAAGTTTTTGTAAGTCGGAGCCGAGAGTATCCGAACCAGGGTCTTCGGCCTGACAGCCAAGAAAGCTAACCTAGGCCATGTCAGCGCCACTCCAAATTTGCCTATAGCCTTGCTGTCTGGCAGTTTAGCTAATTGTGCTCAGAAGACCGTTAAATAATGTTTTTTAGATGGGCGCTCCCGCGTATCATCTGCGGTCTGTGGACGACGGCCGATTTGACGCTGTGCACCGCGTCCATCTGCAATCTCTGCGCCATATCGGTTGATCGATATATGGCCATTTCACGGCCACTCAGGTAAGATTTATTGAGCTTTACGAACTTGGCAAAATCCAAAGCATCTGACTTACCAGTGCCTTTAAAATACCCCAAAACCTTGCAGCGGGAGTTTTCGCTCGAGTTACTGCAATTTACCGCCTATAACCCCTCGAAATCTTGAATTTCCGCTTTACCCTTTCACCATATGGCTAGCAGAAAGATAACGGTATAAGAAATGGTAAACCCGGCAGCAAAAAATCGGGGATTGGTTTTGACGGAATGGGGGGATGGCGGAGGACAAGTCATCGCGTGCATTCCAGATGTTTCACTTGAGAAGGGGGATTGCCCTGTTTTTCTATAGGTATAGGGAAGTTGTTTTGACAGGCTGCAGGGGTTGGGAATGAAGTTGAACGCATAGACTGGAGGACAGTTTGTGATTTTAAGGAAATTAAATGGGAGGGGAAGTTTCAAAACATTTTATTTAGAGCTAAACTCAGTTAATCGAATTATCGATTAAAATAAACTGAAAAAATACAAAATACTAATTTGGTGTCAATTGTATGGCGTTCATATACTCGTTAAAAGCGTTAGGGTTTTATGAAAGCTGCAGTTAAACGGTTTTTATAAAGCGATCGATATTTGAAAATTCAAACTGACTCCCGGCTTATACATTTCAAACTCACACTCTTCAAGATTTTCGTAAATTTTCCATTTCCGTGTTTCAAAATTCATCGAGGCGCAAAAATCTGAGCCGGCTAGCAGTTTGCACAAATTGATACTCCCGGCTTCAGAACTTCGAAAATTCTCGAGCCCAGCTGCCAATGAATATCCGAAAATGCAGTTTACTGTAAAGTGTTTTTACTCAGGTTGGAGTTTCGATTCGGGACCAAGTGCACCTTGTGCAGAATTTTTCGCTGATTCCGAATCCGCCTTCCAAATTTGCTGCGGACTTTTATTTTGAAAGTTATACAGCAGTTACGGTAGAGTTTTCACCAAAATCAAGGAACCGTTATCGTTTTCGCTTTTCCTGATCAATTTCAACTTCAAAATTGGTTAGAGATTGGCTAGACAAGCATCTTAAAAGTCAAAACAAGCTTTTTTTATAAAAATTAAATTTTTTATGCAAAAAGCAAAAGAAAGGTGTAGGGCGGGGATCCGAACCGCCGCCTTGCGCTTGGCAAACGAGTACTTTGCCAATGCACCATGGTGCCAACCGGCAGGGGAGCGGTGACAGAGTACTTCAGGGCCTCCGAGAGAAGCAGAACCATGGAGGGAATAGTGGACCAGGATCCGAATTTTTGGCTTTTTAGAGCTTAATTTGCACCAAAAATGACTTTTTAAATAAAAGTCCGCAGCAAATTTGGAAAGCGGATTCGGTGTCAGCAAAAAATTCTGCACAAGATGCACTTGGTCCCGAATCGAAACTCCAAGTTGAGTAAAAACACTTTACAGTTAGCCATTTCAATAGAAACCGATCCATAATTCGCTAACTTGCGCCTTCTGGGATCCAATCAATACTCCCAGCGACAAACTGTCACCCATTTCACCGTATTTCATCACCGATTGGGGTCGAAGTCACTTTCATCGGCTTAATGGCCCTGTTTTGCTGCGGGAGAGAGCATATGTTTTCCCACGACTCCCGATGGCAAACGATCCGACAGGAAAGGGCGGGAGAAGCTGAGGAGAATGAGCATCTTGCCTTTTCTCCTTCTTCTTCTTCCCCATACCCCAATCCATCCACCGGCTATTTCGGGGATTTCGGACCGAGGGGGGGTGGGGGGGAGGAGATGCTGGAGGAGGTCGAGAGGGGCCAATATGCAGAGCAGGGTGTAAGGGATTCCAGCTCACATGGAAAAATATAGTAAAAATAGATGGCAGGCTAGCAGGGATCATTTGAGAATGAAAACTGACAACCAGTTCGCCGGTTCCTGAAGTTCGATCGAAAGCAAACTAGCAAAGACCATTTTCTCAGTTTTTGTGGATTAACTGGATGCCAGTTTACGCTCTAAAGTCTTAAATAGTGATAGCAAGCTAGCAGCTATCATTTGGGAATGTTAACTGGTAGCCAGTTAATCGATTCCCGAAGTTCGATTGGCAGGAAAACTAGCAGAGATTATTTAGGAAATATTCCAGGGCAAAAGCTTCACGAATGCTGGTCTACGTTCTAAAATCCCAAAAATGACTGGCAGTCTAGCAAAGACCATTTAAGAAGGCAACTGTCGTCCGAGCAAGCTTTCCTAAATCGAGCAGAGATCATTTATCGCTTTTTCAGGTACTCAGCGATGCGTACCAACATCCGTGTGTCCCTCTACATAGCCCTCGTGTGGGCCGTCTCATTTTTCGTCAGTCTCACCGCCCTTCTCATCACACAATTCCTCGAAGAAGATACGGATGGCGAGCAGCAGGGGCTATGCGTCGTGAGTTTTCCAACGCACCGTCCGTGGTTAAATGGCGTAATCGGTTTAATTTTCCGGTTTTATGCGGTACCTTTCATATTTAAGCGTTTCTATATTTCAACTGCCACCCAAGGAGCGCACGAGTTTACCGGTAAGCCGGAAATGAACCGGCATTTTCATCACGTAATCGAATATCGATCCATCTTCCTTAATCCATGAAAATCGTTTTTAATGACTTCGAAACTTTTACCATCACCTTAAAGGGATGCCGACGGCATAGCCAATCGGTTACGCGCGGTAAAGAAAATCTCTCTGCGCCTCTCCCCTGGGCGCGCTCTCTCCCCTGTTGGCTACTTGCCAATTTGTTGATGGGGGGGATCGACACATGCCGTCCGCAGCCCTTTAACTGACCAACTGACCGCCAGATAACTGATTTTAAGTCAATTTCCACCTTGAAAATCCACATAGGCTATTTTGCAAGCTTCAAAAAGTTCGTTCCTTTGAGAAGCCGACCCCCAGCAAGAACTAGGGCCATAAGTCATCAGCAGGTATTGGAAAGGGGCGGGGGGGTAGAGAAGGGAATGGGTGACATGAGGAATTGTTGGCCATTCAAAGGACCCACCTGGTTCCCCATTTTAGATCCTTTCTGATAACGGGGGGGGGCTGAATGGGAGTGTTTTGTTAAAAGGTACCCCTGCCGGAGGATCAGTTGTGACCCATTTAGCGAGCCGTTTCCTAAAAAGTGTCCCTCTGTTGGGAGGTGGGGGATATAATATGTGGATGGCAGCTAGAGGGAAGTCACACTCCAGGTGGTCGAGATGGATATTTTAAAGGCAGCGAGACATCTGGAATCTCAGAAAAGAAAAAAAGGGCACGCGTTGATCATGTTTTCTCGAGAAGGGGAGCATGACTCACAAATATCATGGGCTATTTTTGAAGGGAATTTGGGGATCGAAAATCGGGCAGTTTAGATGGAAAAGTTAAAAGTTCCAAAATCAATAATTCTGACCCTGGCGGGGGTCGAAATCTTGGGAGTTGCTTCGCTGCCTGTCAGTTTAAGCATTGACGTCTGAAAAATAATTGTATATCCTGGAAACGTTAAATTAGAGTATTTTGCGCCTAACTGGCTTATAATTTAAATTTAGAAACCCTGAAAACAAGTTTTAATCCCTAGGTTGTAAAATTGCCGTAATTTCCGCTTAACTGACACACAGTTCAACTTTTGATCGCCTAAAAATAGTTCTCAAGCCTTTAATTCTTAAATTACGTTAATTTCCGGTAAACTGACAGACAGCTCGGCTTTTCACACTTTTAAAATAATTCTATGCGATTTCTGCAATCACCACTATTCTCCATAAACTGTCAACCCGTTTTCGATACATTTAAAATTGATTTTCAACTCGCAAAGCCCTAAAAATTACCGATTTTTGACCGAAACCACGAATCTGGCAGGCCTCGATGCCATTCGGCGCGTCATTCCTAAGCGCCAGTAACGGCCTCCCCCCTCGTGGCCGCGTAAGGTGGAACGACGCGTACTAAGTGCCCAGCGGACGGCCAAAAAATGGGGCCGTGAACGCCTAGGGGGTCTTCGGTTTCTTGGCTTTAGCTTTTGGCCGAAAGCATAAGCCGAAAAGCTCCGGAAAATCCAAAAACTATGTAGACTCGAAAAATTGAAAAATCTCGATTTTTCGAATTTTCGAAACCGATTACGGCATGTAATTTGATAATTCCAGCAGGAAACATTTTTTGAACGAGGAATTTAATTAATCTGTTTTCCAGTTGGCCCAAAAAGTGGGATTTAGCTTTTGGGAGAAAAGCTTAGCCCAACCTCCTCAGAAGATCCAAAAACTGAGCTCAAAAACTGCTAAATTGATGGCGTATCTCCCAAAGGAACCCAAAAAACATTAACATATTATGCTAGCTGGGTAGAGTGGATGCCAGATAGATGGAAAACATGGAAAAAGAACAGAGAGACAAACTGGCTCGGAAACAGACAAACAGAGGGGACAATGGACCACCCAGGAGGGGGAAACTGATTTTTGAGAGTTTTTAGAGCTCCCTGGAGGGCAGTGGGACTCCTTGAACGCGGGGCATTTATCATTTTTTTGAAAAGGCTAAAGATAGAAATAGAAAATACGGAAAAACAAAAATCGCAAATTATTGGAACGACATTTTGACAAACATTCAAAAATTTCAAAACCTGAGTAAAAATAAAATTCGAAAAATTCGATATATTGGGTTTTCGAAACCGATTACGCCATATAATTTACGCCAAACGCAAAGATGAACTTCCATTTATATAAATAAGCTATTTTTGCAATGTTTTTATCAAAACTTGGTTGAAGAATGAAAAAACCCAATTTTTCGGATTTTCGCGTCCGGTTACGCCATGGAATTCGAGAATCCCCTGGAGAATCAACTATGAAATTAATCAATCTGTATTTCAGGTAACCCAAAATCTGGGTTATCAAATCTACGCGACACTCCTCGCCTTCTACGCCCCAACAATGATAATGGTGATTTTGTACGTGAAGATCTGGAGGGCGGCAAAGAGGCTGGCCATGCAGGATAAACTCCTATCTTACGGGGTAATTTATATAATTCATACTGACAGCTAGCAGAGATTATTTGACACGGGAAACCGCAAAATTGCGAAATTCGGGAAAAACGGGCAAGCTAGCATAGATCCTTTGCGGAATTTTTCGATCCGTCAAAATGGTCATCTTTGATTAATTGTAAAGTGCAGTCTTAATGGCAGGCTAGCAGAAACCATTGCGGTATCCCGAAACATATAAATTTTGAGCCTTTTTCGATAAGTTGAATTTAGTGAAAAAAATTCCATCCGACCCAACCCACTTTTCGCGCTAAAATCTGATGTTTGTTGGTAAATTGTGTAAATTGGGATACAGTATGCCGAAAAATGTGTTAATAAATGTATCTATACCCATCATTGTTTCCAGAGCGGTCAACCCCGTGAATCCACGGACAGCTCGAATCTTTTATCAGCCGGGCTGGGAAACGGGAAATCCGGGTCGCGGTCGTATTTCCACAGACCGTCCGCGCTCTTCAATGCCGTCAAGGTAAGTAAAAAAAAATAATTACGATATTTTAAAGGAACTCTGAAGGCTGGATTACCCCTAATTAGACTACTGGCAAAGCGCAAAAACAAAGACATTTTTCGCCGAAAATTGCTCAAAAATTAGATAAAGATCGTACTTGTTCGTCGTAAATTGTGTAAAAATCGATTACGACATAAAAATCCTCCCTTCCAAGTACCTTGAAGAATCCCTAAATTGTCAATTCTTTGTTGCTCCACATCATTGGGCGAAGCCCAGGACGAGTCCGAGTGGTTCGGCCTCCGCAACGGACTGCAAAAATCGCCCCAGAAAAAGTACCGTAATCAGCGATATTGTAGCTTCTTATCGATATTTTGGTAGTCGTTCGTGCCATTGTCGTCGCGATTTCGAGTAGTTTCGCCGAAATTATAAAGTTGCATTTTCGGGTTTTAAAGGGAAGGCGACAGCCAAAATTGCCCTAATCTTTCAAGCAATTTTAAATGTTACCTTTCCACAATAAATTTTGTGTATCTTTTGGGTTAGGGTGACAGCCAGAATTGTCAATATTTCAACGGTAGTTTAGGATTGAAGGAAGCAGAAGTATTTTTAAACTTTTTTAAAGAAATGGTGACAGCTCAGCTTTTCCCGTCTTTCTAATTTTTAAATTTCAAAAATTTAATTTTATCCTAATCTGTAATTTTTTGAAATTACTGTAAGTTTTTCAATTTAGTTTTTTTTACCAAACTCGTCCCCATTTCCAAGCGCATATCAGCATTTTGGCAAGCTGCCAGAATTTTCGAAATTCGACAATTACTTATGTTTGGCATACCGCCAAAAAACTTGCCCTCCTCAAGAAAGCCTAAATTTGGTTGGAAAAGGGCTTTTCCTCGCTTTTTCTCCGTCCATTTTCTCCCCGGGCAACAATCCACAAGTTTCCGCGCAACGCTCGGCAGATCCACAGAGGAATCGAGGAATGGAACATTTTGGAATCCAGGGGAAATCCCGAAAAAAACGGGGAGTCGAGGGCAACAAAATTCAATTTGGGGGGAGGGGGAGTAGATTTCGCAAAAATATTTCATGCGACTCGAGATATCTATGGGAGGATAATGATGAGACCGGTCTCTAGGGGGTAGCTGGGAGAGAATATTGGGGAAAAGGGAGTAGGGAGAGGAAGGGCTTTTTGAGCCGAAGGGACCAACCATCGACCCAACAAAAGGAGGGCGAAGGGGATCAGAAAATGATCAAAAATTTGAAAATAAACTACCGTATCTTAGCCTCTATTTTTGAAAAAAATTTTATTTTCACGCGGATTTTTGCCTTCAACGGCCCTTTAAAACAGCGTAGAGTTCTGAAAAACAGCGCGCTTGCATTAGCATGGAATTTTTGACCATCAGAAGCATTTTAAAGGGATCGGGAAGTCATGGATTTCACATGAATTCGCATGGATTTTACCTTCCATGTTCTTTAAAAACCCTCGAAAATTATAAAAACCCGGAAAAAATCCAAATTATTAGTATTGACTCGCCCTCTTAAGCTTTTAAAGGGATCGGGAATTTTCGCGGAAAACCCTATGGATCTTTATGGATTTCTGCCTTCCTGGTCCCTAAAATCCTTTGCTGCGGTAAAAAAATCGAGAAATTCGTATTTCTTGCTACGTTTTCCACTTCTAAATTTTAAAGGAGCCGTGAAGCCATGGATTTTTCAATAGATTTTTCAATTTTTCCTATGGATTTTTGCCTTCCAGGTCCCTTTAAAATCAGCCTAGAACAAATCTTCCCATTTCCCTCTCCAAACTGCCTGCCAACAATCACAACGCGAGGCTCCTCTAGACGAGTCAAGTTAAGGGGACCACTTCCACGAGAGCCAATATGCCCTCTCATAAATGGGTCCCCCTTCCACTGCTTTATGACCCTCGAGAACATCCAAAATATGCCCCGAGAAACGGGGTTGTTGGCCGAGTGTCAGGGGATATCCCGTGACCCAGAAAAGCCAAAGAAAATCCGTCGAATTTCAGTACACCAGTCTTCTATTCTTTCCGTTCGTCGTCAAATCGGTAATTGCTCGCGCTGAGAGATGAGAGAAAACGAGAGAAATAGAGAGAGGGAGAAAGAGAGAGAGAGAGAGAGAGAGAGAGAGAGAGAGAGAGAGCGGGTAGAAAGAGGAGAGAGCTAGCGGGGGAGCAAAGAGAGTGAGAAAGATTGAGAAAGAGGCGAGAAAGGGGGGGGAGGGGAGAGAGAGAGAGAGGGGGGAGGAGAGAGGGAGGGAGAGGGTTTTTAGGATTTCCGGGGGAAAGTATTTCCGGGGGAAACCAAATTTTTTTCCTGTTTTTCCCGGTTGACCTAGTAATCAAATATAAAGTGTTTTAACATTGTTTTTAGTAAATTTTAACTATATTTAAAGTAGAAAAACCTGTCAAAAAAGTTAGAAAAATGTTTGAAAAAGTCGAAAATTGGTCATTTTGGGTCTTTCCCCCCCGCTAATCCTAAAGGTTCTATAGGATTTTTCGACCTAAAATTAAATTTTTAATTAAAATGTGGGTAGTTTTATGCTCAGGAATAGTTAAAACCATTTAGAAACCCATGCGCCATTTAGAAAAAAATTTAGGCTTGGATTGAAAAATTTGGTTTCCCCGGAAATACTTCCCCCGAAATACTTCCCGGAAATCCTAAAGAACCAAAATCGTTAACTGGCAGACAAAAAGCTTAGAAATCTGTCCAAAATTGGTGGATGGCTTCTTCTCCTGAGCATGAGCTTTTTCTCGCGAAAATCTGGCAATAAGCTTAAACTTTCTCGATAATGCAACCCCTAAAACTGTGAAAATGGCCCGAGTGTCTGAGTTGATTGGAGAATGATTGGCCGTATCGTGTCGTACTCTTATTGCTACGGCCTATAAACTACAGCTCTAACCCTTGGAAAGCTGCTGCTGCCAAAAGCTCTATGCAGAATTTTTTTAGAGTCCAAAATTACCATATTTTTTTCAGTACCACTCGCGACAACACGAGAAATCCGAGACGAAAGCCCGGCAGACACTTGGGGTGATGATGTCCGGTGAGTATAAAGGAGGATAAACTACAAAATACAACCAATTACGCCGTGACATACCGTATCTTGCTTACGATATACTACAAGACACCCATATTTACACCTGAAAGACCAAATTTTTCGCTAAGTGATACGGAACACGGTAGCTTCCAAGATACACATCTTTACGCTACGCCATAGGAAGGCTACAAAATACAGTTATTGGATCGTTAGGGTTTAGTATCTTTCTTACAGTGTTTTGCGGCACGATAGGCTCCAAAATACACCTGTGTACATCTCAAAACTACGTCATTTCCAGTGTTCATCATCTGCTGGCTACCATTCTTCGTGTTGGCCCTGGTGAAGCCGATATTCGGATGGCAAGTCCCACCGTGGCTTGATGGACTCTGTCTATGGCTCGGATATTCGAATAGGTCAGTTGAACTCGGGGAATCGGGTTTTGCCAAAACTAACTTGATGGGGGCATTAACTGGCACGCAGTTTACCCAAAAATACCGGAAAAGTTAGCTAAATTTGAAATTAGACCACAAACTACAAAAATTCGGAAAGCCCTCGGGGATACCTGAATTTTCAAATTTGATATTCGAAATTTACAACAGCATTTTAACAATTTAAAAATTATCTTATTCTGTAAACTGACCTCAAGTATACCTAAAATTGTGCGAAATTTAGCGCCATAGTACAAACTACAAAAAAATCCCGACTTTTGAAAAATCGAACTTTTGAGAAAATTACAAAATGTTACTTTCCCCATAATTTCATAAGGATATGTTTCATCGGTTACAGTAGCTTTTATCGTCAATTTTCCCCTCCTGTATCCTCGTCCAAACTACACCTCGTCAAAAGCGTTCATTGCCCCCAGAAGCTAGTCCAGTGGGCGTTTATTTCGATTCGCGTGGGTGTCAAAAGACGCCTTGCGTACATTCAACCCCCAATTCCCTCCATTTAACGCTGGGAATGTCTTCCTCGGTCTGTCTGTCTGCCAGTTGATCCATCTGTGCGTTCATCGCCCCAAAAAAAGTCTTCGGAAGAGAAGAGAAGTCAGAAAAATCCAGAAAACCCCATTTTTTTTCTTCTAAAAAGCCTTTTTTTCGTCGGTTCATTCAGATCAAATTTCAGTCCCCCCTCCTCCAGAAATTCCCTCGGGCCAGAGTAGGTCCCAGAAGAGGCAGGAAACTTCCTTAAAAGGTCTTTTAAGGCGTTCAATGAAAATCGTTTGAAAATTGGACGGCATGGGGATGGGCAGAAATTTCGAAAATTAACGCTAAAGGGATTTTGAAGACAAAAATTGCTAAATATACCAAAATCTTGGGCTTCCGAGTACCTTTACATCGGGCAAAACCCGCCTAAATCTATGCCTTAACGGGCCCTTTAAAAAGCCTGAATTCGGCTACCGTTGCCCAGACTAAAACTACCATAAGTACGACTCATAGAGTCTTTCATGGCCCTTTAATATAATCCAAAAAAATTCCCGCCATCGGCTACCGTACCCCGAACTTCCACGCCGATCTTTGCTCGGCTTTTTGCGTAGCGTAAAAGGACATGAATGGAGGGGAATGAGTGGCAGTTGATGCTTCCTGATTGCCTCCATATTTCGCTCTTTCTCCAGGATCTCGCTCTCTCGCTGACTCGCTCTCTCCCCCACCCGTGATTCGCTCTCACTCTAACTCTCTCTCTCTCTATCTCTCGCTGACTCTCGCTCTCACTCTAACTCTCTCTCACTCGATCTCTAGGGTCACAGCTGGAGATGGTGAGAGAGAGAGAGAGAGAGACAGAGAGAGCGATAGAGACCATTTAGATAAGCCCTACCAATGGCCATCCGTCCCTCCCCTACCACATCTTGTACTTTTTGCAGTCTCCCCGTTTTTGACCTCTCGGGAGGCTGAAGCCTAATCTCGCGACTCAAAAAGCTCGGTGAAATGGCCGAGATGGGTGGTCCCCATTCAAAAGGCACCCAAAAACTAGAAATAATAGTTTTGAGATTAGGGCGACTTGCTGGGGAGCCACAGGCGGGATAGAAAAAGTCGAGTCGGGGGCTCGTGGCAGTTAGGTTTTTGGTCGTAAAGGAGCTGACGAATTGGGGGCTATTTCATGGCCTAAATTTATGAATTTACCAGCGAACATCTAGACCAGAATACCATCTAGAAGCGTGCCACAGCTCAAAAAAAGCCGAAAAGCCTAATTAAGCCAATCTATTTTTAGCGTACAAACTTTTCAAAATCGTAAAAATCCCTAGAAATAGGATAATAGAGACCTTCAAGTCTAAAAAATTCGATTTCGCTTCTGGTCTGAATATTAAAAAAAGTGGTTACCGGCCAAATTTTGAACAAATTGAATTTGAAGTTCGCCGGCTTCTAAAAATTCCATTTTTAGTCACCGTGGTCAGCTTTCCTAAAAATCAGGAACTCTACCAACATCAGAACTTTTTTAAATCGCCAAAACCCTCTAAAAATGATGTAAACGTCTTCACGTCGGCATAGCCATCTACCCCATAGCTGGAACCACTCTAGTCAAGCTCCCTCTAAATTCGGGCTCCAAATTCCGCCTACATACTAAATGCCATCCCCGTTTTGCGTAAAGTGCGTGCGTGCGTGGTAGGTCTAGTTTTTTGCCTCGCGGCGGTGGGCGTTCGTCCTTCCCCTCGTCCGCCCGTCCGCCCGCTCGTATTGGCCAAGCCAAGCCAAGGCGGTGGTGGTGGTGGTTGATGGTTGACGGGGGAAAAGGGGGAAGAAGCCACGGCCCCCAAAAGAAAGGGCTTGACGCTGATTTATACGCCCCAAATCGGAACCGCGAATTATGGGCCACGCGGCCAAGGGGGGGACCCACCACGGACACCCCGGGAAAGGGAACGAGAACTAAAGAATTTGGAGGGGTCGAGGAAAATTGGTTAGCTAAAAATTCGTGAAAAAAATCATAAAAAATCTCCTGAAATCTTAGAAAATCCAAGACCCTGAAAATTAGCTCAGCTTTCACAACCATTTAAAAAATCATATTTCAAAGACCTTAAAAAACATCAAAAACATCTTAGAAACGCGAATAAAACTTTAGAAATCGATAAAACCCTTAAAAACCATCTAGCAAAGTTTTAAAACAGCATATTCCTGCGAAAAAGAAGATGAAGAAATATTTCTAAAATTTAGAGGGCATAAGAAAAATGAATGAACTCAAAAAATCGAAGAAAACTTCCTAAAAACGCGAATTGCTCAGAAATTATCAAATACCACCAAAATCCCTAAAAAATAATAGGACTTTTGTTTTAAAAAACGCGAAGAAAATTACGAAAAATTCGGAGTTCATGAAATCGCGAAATACTTCGAAAATTATCGCCAGCCCCCAAGAATCCTCGATTTTCAGCATGCTGAACCCGCTGATCTACTGCAAATACAACAAAGACTTCCGGATCCCGTTCCGCGAGATGATTTTCTGCCGATTCTCCACCCTGCAGACCGTCATGAGGCAGCAGAGCTTCACCAGCAAATACGGGCCCGCGTAAGTTAACAAATTCATGGGAAAAATCCCAAAATCACCTCAAAATTCAGCAATAAAATCCTAAAACACGAAATTTACAAAAAGGTCTGGAAGCAGTGAGGGAAAAACTTTCTTGGCAAGTGCCCGATCATATAAGCGCTTTTTTGAACCGATTTAGCTGTTGAAAATAGCTTTGAAAATCAGACTAGTGTTCTAAATTCGCGAAAACAAAACGAGTATATTAACCGTTCTAAAATCCAATATTTCTAGGCCGTGCCGAGCAGCCAGTATCCAGGATCGGGCCGACCGGCCGGAATCGTCAGATCTGTGATCCGCTCCTCTATCTATTGTATCAATTATTTTATTTCCAAAGATCTCACATCAGCCAAAAAATTGACCAAATATGATCTGTCTTATCCCAGTGAATAGCCTTCATCTATTTCCCTCCCTTATACTCTTCGATACGGGCCATCAGATATACGTGCGCGTCCACATTGCCATACCAATTATTATTGAGTGACCCTTAACACCAATCTATCCATTTCCACATATTCAATAATCAAATAGGCAATAAAACTTCAGAATTAGACGTCTAGAAACTGGCGTTGAAAAATAATAGCCCGAAACTGGCAATTTTGGGTTACGGTAACGGACCACGTTTAAGTGGCGGGGCACCCTTAGCGAACAGTACAACACTTGATAGTAAAGGATACCCAAGAGTTTTCTATTCGTTATTTCACTTTTTTATGGATAATAATAATTGATCAACAAAAAAATCAGACAAGCCTACGCCTTACGTTTTTTTGCTCGCGCTTCTTGCCGATTTTTTGCTCGACTGCTTGCTGAAACGCATTTGGAAGTGTTTATTTCAATAAAAAGAGCAAAATAACAACAACAGGAACAACAGAATAAACAATAACAACCTGACTCGAGGGATTAATCTTTGGCTTTTCTTTGCTGCGCCAAGAACGCATTCCTTGCGGTTCGTTTCTCCATCTCGTACGTCTTGCTTGCATCGAGGATCGGCGTGGCCTTCTACTCTCTTTGGCAAGTTGTCAAACTGATGTTTGTTGAGCTCTTAATCGAAAAGGAACAGAAGTTCTCATGCTCAGTTGCTTTTAGCCATGTGTTAAACATAGTTTCGGAGTCGAGCTCAAGCGTGGCATTTGCGCATCTAAAAAGCATATACTTAAAGACACCCGCGTACTTTTCATCATGCTGCTGGAAGTGAACAACTAGTTCCTGGTGGCTAGAAAACGTGTCCGGGCACACCGAACAAGTGATTCGCGCGTCCCCAACAGTAGGCTTTGCTGCATGCTTCAACCTCTGATGTTCCGGAGATGTTTCTGCGTGCCGTAGCGTTGTCGCATTTTGGCACGCAAATTCCTTCAAATGCGCCCGGGACGCCGGTTAAGTGATGCCAGGGTGCTGGGAATGTACATGTCGTTTCAGAGTAGGACCATGAGGTACTATAGCGACAGAACACGCTGGACAAGCGACGCTTCTACTTCCGACATATACTGCCCGAAATATTCATTATAGGAAAACCCGCTATTCATTTCACTCCGGAGACAAAAACTTGACAAATGCGTTCAGCAGCAGTCGAGCAAAAAACGGCGAAGCGCGAGCAAAAAACGAAGGCGCGTGTTGTCTGATTTTTTGTTGATCAATTATTATTACCCATAAAAAGTGAAATAACGAATAGAAAACTACATTGGAGTATCACTTTACTATCCAAGTGATTATACCGTTCGCTAAAGGGTGCCCCGCCACTAAACGGGACCGCTACCGTAACCCAAAATTGCCAGTTTCGGGCTATTATTTTTCAACGCCAGTCGTCTAGAACCTGAAAAAAACACCCTAAAAAGCACAATAAAACGCCCAATACAAAAAATAGCTGGAGGTTGGCGTAAAGGCTGATTTATCTAGCTAACCGAAAGGTCCCTAAAGATCTCTGCTAGCAATGCCTATATAGAATCCTTTCTATTCTAGATAAAAAACGCTAAAACCCACGTTTAGCCGCCTCAAAAATGCTTCTATTCTAAATTGAACAATTCTAAAGAGCGCATCATTTGATACACCACTCGCAAAACGAAGCAAATCGCAAAAAGCACCGGTTGAAAAAGGCGAAAACCCCGAATTGCCGTCTAAAAACTCACCTAAAATCGAAGAAATAGCGTAATTTACTGGTACTAGCTTGGAATTTGACGAGTCTAAATAACTAGTAAATTTCTCTAAAAATCACTGCCCGTAGGCCTGACTTTTACCTCGCCTATTGCCACTTGATCAGTTATAACACGTTTAAAACTGCAAAAAAATTAAAAATCCGTATAAAATCATAATTCTCTTATCAAAATCCCAAGCGGCAAAAATTGTTCGTGTATATTCCCTGAAAAGCCCTCTCAAAATCCATTGTAAAACAACCACTTCAAACTCCACAAAATTCTAGGGGAATAAAATCTTTATTCAGACCTGCATCGGGTGGGGCTTTTTTGGGGGGTACGGTAAAAAGAAAAGAAAAGAACGGCGGGGCCACGAGTAATACAACGTTTGACACGGCCATCTCATATCCTTATAACTTATATATAGCTCCTAAGCTTCTTCTTATTTCTGAGGCTTCTGCTGCGCCGCTTCCGGCAACAAAAAACACACACATCAACCGGTTTAGAGGGTACGGGGCGAAAGGGTGTAAAGGAAAGGACAATCCAAAAAGGGCAGTGCTGCTAAAGGGCTGCTAAAGGCTACGAAGCTATACTCTAGACATACACACAACGAAAGAATTAGAAGAGGAGGAGGAGCACAGTATCGGAGAGTACAAAGTACACCTTAGTACGTTGAGCGAATCGATTGGACGGCGGCGTGGGCGACGAGAAGTTCGGCGAGGAGCCGCGTCTCGAGGTGAGCACGAGTGTCCATGATCCAGTCACGGGCCAGCAGGCGGGGCTCACCCTGCAAAAAACGTTTTAAAAATGATTTTTGAAGAATATCAATAAATTGATTGATTTTTCTTAAAAATAAATTATTTAGCTGACCCAGATTTCCCTAAAAATCTCTGCTAGCACGCCTGATTAGGGCACCGCCCAAAGTCGGCTTTAAAAAGTCAAAACTACCTTTAAAAATTGGGTTTTGAAAATCAAATTTAAGAGCACTATTTTTAACAAATTAAAATGAATCCATGGATTGATTTTTAAGCGCAAAAACTTATCTTAGAAATCAGATTTTACCAATTTAAAAATTAAATAGAATGGTTTTAAAGTCAACTTGAAGCATTTAAAAACCCGAAGGATTTGTAAAGTAATTCTTAACAATTGGATGTTTAAATTTTCAGCGCCATTTTTAAACCTAATTTGTGATTTTAAATTTAAAATCGATACCTGAAGCAGCTGGACAATCTTGAGCGCCGACGGGAAATCGTTCTGCTCGACGTACCACCGGGCGCGCGACAGCAACTAGAAAAATTTTGTACAATCGAAAAACCAAAATCCTACCTCCAAATTGTCGAGGACGTTGGGGTCGAATTTGTCTTCACGGGTGTAGTGCATTGGTAGATCGAGGCTGAGCACAGAGCGGATGTACGACCAGAAATATCGCCCGAGTGAGCCGCCATTCTCGCCCACCCACGCGCGGCGTCGCCCGACGGTGTACAACTGAAAAAGGGGTTTTGCGACGTCAAAAATCAAAATAAGTAAAATGATGACCTAATTTTTATACGTGTCCAGATACGTATAGTAACGCCATAAAAAATAACATAATAACCTTTTTAGCAAAATTTAGTAAATTTTCAAGTGCAACAACTACTTTTTAACTGTTTAAAAATATGGAATTTTGTCAAAAAAATTAAACTTTTTGTTTATTTTTAGCGTTTATTCGCTATAGTCGTATTTTCCGCGAAAAAAACTATTTAAAAACTGTTGAAAAAAATTAGAATCTCGTCGAAAAAGCAGCCCTTTTTGGCAGAAAAATGTAGATTTTTGTCTTTTACGGAATTTTCGAAAATTTTGTCGCCGCCTGCAACTGCCAAAAACCGAAAATCCAAGATCACCTTGTCGAATCGATTCTTGAGGTCGAGCTCGGTGTAGACACCAGAAGACGTGGCCTGTTTCGGGAACGAGTGCACGATCGTCGTCACCACCTCATCCTCGGGGTTCACCTAAAAATATCATCTGTTTACTTTTTTAATTTCAATACCTCGTTGAGAATGTCGAGAGAAGCCTTGAGGGGTGCCCTCCTTGCCTCCATGGTCTTGCCGGCCTTTTGCCCGTGGACGATCGTGTCGATCAGGTTGTGGCACGCGATCCAGAATTGTTTCGACCGTCGATTTTCGGCGTCCTAAAAGTTGAAATTAAGAAAACTAAAGAAATCCTTACCAAAGCGACACGGCTGGTGAGGGCGGTCTCGATGCCCTCGAGGCGGGATAGGGCTTGGCCGACGGCTTTCGAGTGGTGGGCACGCTCGACGAGGACAGCCTGAAAAAATAGAAATATAATTACTTGATTTTTACAGTTATTTAATTTCATGGATTTAGCAAAATTTGCCAACACCACAAAAACCTGTACTATTTAAATTGTGTAAAAGCCCGAAAACCGGAACATGTCTTAATTTTTGAATTTTTAACATTTTATAGATTTTTAGGAAATTAAATTTCTTGAAAATTTGAAAATAGAATAATTATAATAATTTGAGCGTTCAAAGATCTAAAAAACACACCTCCTCAACCTTCTGGTTGTGCTCAATCTCGAAGAGCTGACGTTGAGTGCGGATGACCTGTTCAAGATGTTCAGCATGAGCACCAGCGGCCCTCTTCAGCCTGTCCTCCAGCTCGGTCTCCCAGCTGCCCCGTTTGGTGAGGACCTCCTTCTCGACGGCCACCTCTTGTTGGGCCTTGACACGATGAAGCTCGATGTGCAGCTTCTCCTGGGCGATTCGCTCGTCGGCAACGCGTTGGTCAGCGATCGCCTTGGCAATGTGCTGCTCTTCGCGGGTCTAAAAAAACGAGGAATTTCAGGAAAATGGGAACTGTTATACCTGTTGCTCAGCCAGCTGCCGACGGAGTTGATCAACGCGGAGATGAGCATGAGCGATTAGGGCGTTCAGCTCGTCCTCGTTGAGATGCTTGCCCTTGGCCTCCAGATCGACGGATGGGAGGATGCTCTTCACTTCGAGGGCGAATTGTTGGCGGGAGCGGTCGATGAGTTCCTTGTATTGGTTCAGAATCGAGGATTCTTGGCGAGCCTGAAAAATGGGTTTACAACGTCGTAAAATCGGCAAAATCGACAAATCAAAAAAATGCGGCAAAATATTATTTTAAGAACAAACCAGTCGATAACAGCCGCTTCGCGGCTGCTATCGACTGGCCCTCCCGGGGGGCAAGGCAATACAGGGTCCTTCCCATTCTCTTTAGTATGTTTCCCGCTTGGCGCGAATACCTTCCGTGATCTACCTACGCCCCTCCTCCAAAAGAGCCTTCCACTTGTAATGGCTAGAATACCCTTGAAAGAAAGTTATTTCCACTTCTTAGATACTAAAAAACCTCTAAAGCACGCGTAATGGCTAGAATACCCTTCAAAGAAGTTATTTCTCCTTCTTTGATACTAAAAAAACCTCTAAGGCACGCGTAATGGCTAGAATACCCTTGAAAGAAAGTTATTTCCGCTTCTTCGATACTAAAAAAACATCTAGGAAACGCGTAATGGCTAGGATACCCTTGAAAGAAAGTTATTTCCGCTTCTTCGATACTAAAAAAGCATCTAGGAAACGCGTAATGGCTAGGATACCCTTGAAAGAAAGTTATTTCCGCTTCTTCGATACTAAAAAAGCATCTAGGAAACGCGTAATGGCTAGAATACCCTTGAAAGAAAGTTATTTCCGCTTCTTCGATACTAAAAAAGCATCTAGGAAACGCGTAATGGCTAGGATACCCTTGAAAGAAAGTTATTTCCGCTTCTTCGATACTAAAAAAGCATCTAGGAAACGCGTAATGGCTAGAATACCCTTGAAAGAAAGTTATTTCCGCTTCTTCGATACTAAAAAAACATCTAGGAAACGCGTAATGGCTAGGATACCCTTGAAAGAAAGTTATTTCCGCTTCTTCGATACTAACCAAACATCTAGGAAACGCGTAATGGCTAGGATACCCTTGAAAGAAAGTTATTTCCGCTTCTTCGATACTAAAAAAGCATCTAGGAAACGCGTAATGGCTAGGATACCCTTGAAAGAAAGTTATTTCCGCTTCTTCGATACTAAAAAAGCATCTAGGAAACGCGTAATGGCTAGGATACCCTTGAAAGAAAGTTATTTCCGCTTCTTCGATACTAAAAAAAACATCTAGGAAACGCGTAATGGCTAGGATACCCTTGAAAGAAAGTTATTTCTCCTTCTTAGTTACTAAAATACCTCTAAGAAACGCGTAATGGCTAGGATACCCTTGAAAGAAAGTTATTTCCGCTTCTTCGATACTAACCAAACATCTAGGAAACGCGTAATGGCTAGGATACCCTTGAAAGAAAGTTATTTCCGCTTCTTCGATACTAAAAAGCATCTAGGAAACGCGTAATGGCTAGGATACCCTTGAAAGAAAGTTATTTCCGCTTCTTCGATACTAAAAAAACATCTAGGAAACGCGTAATGGCTAGGATACCCTTGAAAGAAAGTTATTTCCGCTTCTTCGATACTAAAAAAACATCTAGGAAACGCGTAATGGCTAGGATACCCTTGAAAGAAAGTTATTTCCGCTTCTTCGATACTAAAAAAGCATCTAGGAAACGCGTAATGGCTAGGATACCCTTGAAAGAAAGTTATTTCCGCTTCTTCGATACTAAAAAAGCATCTAAGAAACGCGTAATGGCTAGGATACCCTTGAAAGAAAGTTATTTCCGCTTCTTCGATACTAAAAAAAACATCTAGGAAACGCGTAATGGCTAGGATACCCTTGAAAGAAAGTTATTTCCCCTTCTTAGATAATAAAAAACATCCTAAAACCTCGGAATGGCTAAAATACCCTTTGAAACGATATTTTTCTACCCTGGCCCTTTCGGGGAAAAAGGCGAAACGCTGCGGCTCCGGTGAAAATTTTCAGCCCCCGACTACGGTATTCAGGGGGTTCGCGGTGGGATTGAATTCCCGGTCGGGCGGTCGGTCGGGATCACGGACATTAGAAATTTATATATAGTAGATTGATACGCTCTTTATTATGTTCTAACTTTTTGTAAAAAGCAAGAAAAGCTTAAATAACGAAAATCCACAAAAAAGTAGCTTTTCCGAAACAGATCCAAAGCTAATAAAACGTTGCCCATTTCACCAAATTGTTCAGAAAATAGAGAAAGGTACACCAGAAAATCCGTGCAAAATCGCTTTATTTGAACCAGACATACAGCCAAAAAGCTTTACCTTATGCGCCAAATTGTTCAGCTCATCCAGCTGATGCTGGAATTTGTTGGCCGACTCGAGCGTGTTGATCAAAAGCGGATTCGACAGCGTGACAGCGTCGGATTTGCCGTCGGCGATCACCTAAAAAACTTGTAAGGATAAAAAAGTATTCCTTACCGTTCGCAGCGTATCGATTTGATTCCTTCCCTCGACCTCGGTGCGCGAGTCGACAGCCGAGAGAGCTTCGACTCGTTGCAGCGCCTTCGTCACCTCGCTCCAGTCGCCGTTCTGCCCCGCGTCGACCGTCTTCTTCAGCAGCTCGGCGTGATCGTTGATTGCCTAAAATTACAGAATTTCGATAATTTCGTCAAAACCACGGTACTGGACTGTTAGCGAGGGGGCTTTTGATGGAATACCTCATTTTGAAAGTTTTGAAGTAAATAAAGTTCATAAAACATTGTCAAAATGTCTGAAAATGACCAAGCAGATCAAAAATTTCAAATTTTTACAATTTTTTGTATCTGTTAGCAATAAAAACTGCTGAAACACTAAAAATAATACCACAAAACGCCAAATTTTCGAGGTAGGTTAGGCTCCGGTACTTATCAAGTTGGGGGGGGGGCCACTTTGGGTACCTATTAGGAGACACTTTTTTATCGCTTTTTCGACTCTTACTAGGGTAGTTTTTTACGCTGAGTGCGAATAGAGTCGCAACAGGATGCGAAACGGTTGGTTTATCCAGAAAAACAGTCTAAAAATTTATTAATAAAAGGTGTACTTATGCACAATTTTAGGCTTGCCACATTGTCAGGCAAGGTGGGCCGTCGCTTCGGATGGGCTGCCGCTCCACTCTTTCGAAATCAGGGCGCCTGGGCGCTTCGCGCTCCTCGGGCGCCCCGATTTCGAAAAGTGGCGCCGAGGCGCACAAATGGACCGGCAGTACTTTTTGGGGGTACGGTATCTTTCTGCCGATCCACGCTTTAGGCACCGAAAAATTACGACACCTAAATACAGCATTACGCAACGTTGTACTCACTCTTTTTCACGTTATTTAGTAGTTTTTGCGTGAGAACGGTTGATAACAAAGCTTTATTGATGTAACAACGGGGGAATAACAATAGACCGGTAGACCGCTTTTTCGTTCAAATTCATAAAAGTACATATGGCAGCTTTTTTAACCCGGTTTTTAGTCTTTAATTGAATTGAGTCTTTAGTAATGTTGGTTAATACTTTAAATAGCAACTATTCGTATGGTAAAGTAGTAATATCCTAAGCTCTACAGCTTTGTCTTTAATTTAACAGTATGATAATACTATTATAGTTTTTTTTTTCTTTTGTACCACATATCCTTGAACTGGAAATCGGTGAGTTTAACAGAAAGGTATATTCCCCATTACACCTTACACCCACTAAATGTATTTTTAAATACCACGGATTACTAACAAAGTATTAAACGAGGAATAAATCAATATAATACACGAAAAGCCAAAGAATTACGGGAAGAGCGCGTAATTATTAGATAATGTTTCAAACAAAGAACGCGAAGGTAGAACAGTATCAAATAGAAAAAGTATATTAGTAAAATAATAGCTAAATTCAATTAAAGACTAAAAACCGGGTTAAAAAAGCTGCCATATGTACTTTTATGAATTTGAACGAAAAAGCGGTCTACCGGTCTATTGTTATTCCCCCGTTGTTACATCAATAAAGCTTTGTTATCAACCGTTCTCACGCAAAAACTACTAAATAACGTGAAAAAGAGTGAGTACAACGTTGCGTAATGCTGTATTTAGGTGTCGTAATTTTTCGGTGCCTAAAGCGTGGATCGGCAGAAAGATACCGTACCCCCAAAAAGTACTGCCGGTCCATTTGTGCGCCTCGGCGCCACTATTTCGAAACCCTGTACGAGCTCGCACCCATCCGAAGCGACTAGGCTCCGGGTGGCACGAAGCCTTATTTTTAGGCTCAAATTGGGTGTAAGCATCTCTAAATCTCAAAAACGTTTAAATAATTGTGTTCGACTACTCTGATTTTGTTATATCCGAGACCAGCACAAAAAACTAGCCTAGAAAGACTCAAAAAGTCGAAAACCAAAGTGGCCCCCCCCCAACTTGATAAGTACCTAGGCTCCTCAGCCGTCAGCAGTCAAGTACCAAAACCATACCCTGATGGTCTCGAGCTTGGCCTCCGACGCGCGCTGCACGGTGACCTCGGCCGTCTTGAGTGCCTTCAGCAAGCGCTCGTCCAATTCTGGAAAAAACATACAAAACTCGATCGAAAAAGTACTCTTATTCCTGGCGACGGCCACCTCCTCGTTCGGCTTGATGTGGTTGAGCTCGGGGCTTTTCTTGTGAATCTAAAAAACGCGTTTATCTTAAAAAAAAACGGGTTTTACATCGACGGCGTCAACCTCTACGGCCTTCTTCTTCTGCATCGGCGGTGGCTGATGGACGGCCAACGGCGCCAGGACCTAAAAAGAATTTTATCACACAAAAACACTAGAATTCACCTCCTCCTTCTTGGGCAAGATGTGGGCGGGCTTGTTGGGGGTCGTTGGAAGTGGTTGGATCCTAAAAAGACTATTTTTCAAAGGGGAAAATCGACTACTTTTGAGGGGCGGGCCCCAGGACGGCGTCGAGGGCCTGCTTCACCGGCGGCACGTTCGTTTCAAGCTAAACATCGTGTTTTACGACCAAATTTTCAGAAAATATACCTTGTGCCTGAATTCGGGGTCGAAATAGGCGTAGCCGACGGTGCCACCAACGGCGGCTGTCGTCAGGCCGAGGAACAGGCCGATGCCACTTCCGCCGCCGCCACCACTAAAATCGGTCTTAAAAACAGACGTTTTTTTATTACTTACACCACTTGTTAGAAGAGTTAGGTTCCGAAAAACTCTACGGTTTTTAAGCCAACCTGGGTTTTTCTCATTCCCGTCAAAACCATTAGAAATTTCCCCAAAGCTCAAAATTTGCCCGCATTTTGATAATACAATCGTTACTGGTTACATTTTACGCTCTCACGTTGCTACGCCTAGAATTCAAGCGGAAGTCGTCGAGAATCATCGCTTTTCTTGCATATGCCGGTTTATGTATAGCTTATACAACTGATAGAAGGAAAAGCACAAAATCCCTGCTAACTACAAGGAAAGCTCGAGCAACTATAATTTTATTATTCAGCCAATGAAGCCAAAATTTATACCCAGAAACGGGCGGTGGCACCGGGGGCGGCACGGGTGGAGGGACGGCATGCGTCGATTGGGAACGGGCAGCGCGCAGTCCGCCACGAACCGATTCTTTCTAAACAAATCATTTTATAAACTTTAATAACCATTTGCTAACCGTAGCTGCTCGCAGCATCTCCTCTCACTCTCTCTTCTCTTTGCCTATCCCTCTTTGGTCAGCCGAGCAGCCGGAGGACACTTCCGGATATGATTACCTAAAATTTTTTTTATTTATTCCCGAAAAATAAACATAGAGAGGGTGAGGGGAAATACACGCTTAAGAGAACGACGCGAAAACGAGCAAATATATAAGAAAACGGGGGCAGGGCATGAAATCAACGCTAGTATATATATCTCAACTATCTCAACTCAAAATCGGCCTGTTAAAAATGATACAGAAGAAATGGAGGCTTTAGACAATCGGAGAACCCTAATGTTTCGACAGGGAATAGATAGAACATATCGATCGATACAGAACGGGGTTTCGGACGGGAAGAAGTAGATGAACAAATTGACGGGGACGGGCAGTAATTATGGTAAAAAGGCGACGAAGAAGAGGTAAAAACGGTGCTTTTTAGGCCAAAAAAAACTCCTTTTTTCCAGGTTTTTGTCCAAAAAAATATCATAATTTACGTTTTCTACAGTAAGATAAGTAAAAACACGTATTTTCAACGTTTTTCGACCACAAAATACGACAATTTTAGGCCTTTTCTACAGTAAAATTAGTAAAAAGCTTGGTTTTCAAGGTTTTTAGGCTAAAGATCCTCAAAAGGGCGCTTTTTCTACAACAAAAACCACCGAAAATACCCAAACTTCATCACCCCTTTAATATCAACAATCACAATCCGCGCAAATATCCGTTATCATCATCTCCTCGCTCGTCTAGTGATGGTGGTGCACATAGTCGGGGTTGTACTCCTCGGCGTTCGGGTCGACGAACGTCTCGAACGAGTGCCAGTGGTCGTACCACAGATCCCGCCAATAGTACTCGAACCAGGGCTCGGGCAACGTCTCGAACACGCGCGAGTTCCACAGCCCGCCCATCTTGTCGCCCTTCTGCATGTTGTACCCGTAGCTGAACCGCGACTTCAGGATCTCCTTTTGCACCGTCTAAAAAAAAACAGAAAATTTAACGTGAAAATCAAACAATTCTCACCTGCAAATAGTGGCCAACATCACGCGGGTTGTAGTACAGCTCGCCGACGTCGGTGGTGTTGATGCCGTCAAAGGCGTAGAAGAGGGCGTTCATCTTGGAGGTCGTGTACTCCCTCCAGCCGTTCCACGTGATTTCGTCGGTGGGTAGATGCCATTCTTCGAACACCTCGCCCGAGTGCCACTCGAAGAAGTCCAGATCCGTCGCCTGAAAAACGGGCTTATAAAACCTAAAAAACTCGTATTTTTGCTAGATTAGCCTATTTGAGTCAAATCAAAAATTTTATCAAGTGTTCAGTAAGCATTGACGATGCTTGAACCTTTTGAAATGCTAGAAAATCTTTTTACACATAGAATTTCCTGATTTTGGGTAACAAAGGCGATCTTTCGAACCCAAAAGCCGGATTTGAGGTGGAAAAAACTTTTAGAAATCTTCCGAATGTTTGAAAACCTAAATTTGCGCAATTTTAGGTGCAAAAAAATCCGTTTTCTGAGCCTAAAATTAAATTTGCGGGGGACAAACCTTTTTGAAAGCAAAGCTGATATTTTTGTCATTCTAGGTCTAAAAAGGCGATTTTTGGCGTAAAATTTGTAGTCAAAGCTGATTTATAGCTTGGTAAAACTAAAAAAAGATGTTTTGGAACGAAAAAGAAACGGCATTTTCGCCATTTTACGCCAAAAACGCTCTGTTTACGTAGAATATCGATCTGAGATTTATTTATACAGTTCGCATCTTTAAAAGTAATAAAAAGCTCTAAAGACCAAAACTGCACCTCAATATCTTCAATCACCGAATCCACATCGGCCGGGTTGGTCCAGTCGAATGCCAGAATCTTGGAGTGCTTCCTGTATTCCCTCAACGAATCCTTGTACGACTCGTTGATCGTTCCCAGATACGTCTCATCCAGCGTCGCGATCTCGTTCACATTCCCGCGCTTCCGGATATTCTCCATGCACTTGGCCACCGGCACATCCAGGTAGACGACCAAATGGGGCCAGAACTCGAGCTTGGGCAGGGCATTCTTCCTCACGTAGTAGTAGTACTTGAAAAATTCCGGTCCGACGAAATTGCGGGCCCTCATCGCGTTGGTAAAGACGAAATCGGAATGCGGTGCACGCTCGAGCACGACACCCTGGCCGGTATTCATGATGTGAGCAAGAGCATTGAGGTATTGCTCGAAACGGCATTGGAAGAGACGCTCTTGCATCGCCGCCGACAGCTCGTCCATGGGGTTCTTGTAGAACATGTTGATGTCCGGCATGCGGAAACGCTTCGGGAAAAGGTGGTAGAAGTTCCTGAAACAAAAAGATATTTTCCGTTTCAAATCGATAAATACCTATAATCATTCCCATAGCGATCGACGAGAATGTCGTCCATCTTGAATTCGGGCATGTGGTAGAAGCCGAGCTGGTCGGCGAGCTGCTTGGCCAGCGTGGACTTGCCGGAGCCGATGTTGCCCTCGATGACGATCAGGCGAGAGTTTTGGTGGAAACGAGGCTGCGTGCGGTCGCATAGAGCATCCGAATACTGAAAAGGAAACGTAGGATGCGACGAAAAAACAACCAAAAACCTCATAGATCTAGTTTTATTCAAAAAAAGAACATGGTTTTCACGACCAGCTTTTCAGCGAGACAAAAATCGGCGTTTTTCAAGCTCAACTGGTGCCATTTCGATGTTATACGTTCTTGGTAAACTGCTGAACTCATAGGTTCCTCTTCAGAACAAAAAACGTGGTTTTTTCGGTCAGCGTTTATGCAAAACAAAGAAAAATAGCGTTTTTCAAGTTGTAAATTACTTTTTCTATCCAAATAACCTCGTGTTGATTCATTTTAAAATTAAACCATTACCTTGAAGCCCTTGTTCTTATAATCCCAAGGTTCGGGGTACCCCTGAGGGAGATGGAGGATGGACTTGTGAACGACACCGCGCTGCTGCTGGCCCTTCCACGATGTGGCCTGGGTGGCCAGGGCACCGGCCGGGTTCAGCAGCCGACGGGCCGCCGTCGTCACCTTGTCATACACCACCATCCGACCCTGAAAAAGATGGAAATATACCGAATAAGTACAGAAAAGTAAAAACAGCGTATTGACAACGTAAAGTAAAATCGAAAAACGACAAGAAAGGAAAACTACGCGTTCGGTGGTAAAAAAGCAGTTTTCTAAGAAGTTTGTTTCGGGAGAAAAGGTAATGAACAACGTAGTATAAAGCCAGAATAAGTTTGTAACTAGTTTTTACTTTCAACGCGAATAAAACCAGAAAGTCACGGTCTTTTACAGCTATGATTTTTAGCGTTTTTAGGCCGTTAAACCCGCGAGAAAAGCAAAACTTCAAAAGAAGCTTCTACCTTCTAAGATAAACTATAATAAGAGTGGCCTAAAACAGTAAAACCTTCAAAACTACTCAAGATTTTAACATTTGCAAACATTTCGCGATTAGCCGGTGGAAAGCGCACAAAGCGCGCCAGCAAAGTGTACGCGCATTGTGCAAGGGACAGCTGGCGCGCTCTCGAATTCCCCAAACTCTAACTCCTCAAAGACAAGAAAAAAGAGGAAAGTTTGACGTTTCCGGTTAGAGAAGCCGAAAAAATGCGGAGAAATCGAAATTGGTGAAAAGAAAATAACTTTCTGAAAAAATCCAAAATTCCGTTCCATGACGATATACCTTACGCCTAATCGTTTATAGGGTTGGCGCGTTTCGGATATTGATTATGCAAGAAAATGGATAGGGCAATTTTTGGGGCCCAAAAAGTGTCAAGCGACGAAGGTGTCTTTTGTATTTTTTTATGAAATTTGGTATTATTAAGTTAGTACTATTTTAGTACTCTTTCAGGAGTGTTTGGCCTTTGTTGATAGCAGAAATCAGGGTTTCTTGGGAGTCCTATAAAATCGCGGATTTTCCGATTAATTTTTGTACAGATTTTTTCTCCGTATTAGATCTAATCTAAGACTTATCTAATCTAACAATCTAAGACGGAGCATGTCGACATTTTCCGGAATTTTTGAGCATGAAAATCTACCTGAAATGAGGGTTTTTAGCAATGAAACAATTAGGACTATTTGCAGGCAGGCATTTTATTAATCGAAGAGCATGTAAAACAATCCTTTTTTTTGCAAAATTGCTGCCCCTGAATGTTCAGATCGTCGTATTTTAGCTGGTGTGAGCCGTCTGGCCTTCCTGACCGAAAAAGCACGATTGGATCCAATTTCTAGCCTAAAATCATGTTTTCCTAGACACTTTAAAAGGTCTTTCTACACGGAAAAACAACGACCTGTCTTTTTTACAAGAATTTCTGTTTTGCACCACGATCCGGGATGCCCTAGTTGCTTCCATTTTTCCCGATAATCTCGTGGGTTATCGTTTAGTTGTTTTTTTCGCGTCAAGTTTTTAATGAATGTTCTGACCGAGCTATCCGTTCCGATCGGCACGGAAAGTGCGGAAGCTCTGATTCAGATCTAAAAGTACGATTGCACAATCTATCATCAATCTTGAAATTATCATCCATTCCCCCACTTGACTCTCACCAGAACTTTGGAGCAAGAACTGGCAGGGATTTAGCACGATTTATAAACTTTTAGTAGCTCTCGTAGAATCTTAAAACAACGTGCCATCTTTTCCGTTTTGAGAGCCAATCCGAGCCCCTCAGGTGATTCATAGGTAATCGATCGCGGGTGTTTTCGCTTCGGCTACAA